AAAAATTTATATATCAATAAAAAAATAAGTTTTTTAAATATTTTTTTAAAGTTTTTTTATTTAAAAATAATAAAGTTTCTTAAATATTATGAAGCTAATAAATATTTTAATTGAATAAAAAATTTTTAAAAAGCTTTAAATTATTTTTTTTTTCTTTTTTAATTATAATTTGATAATTTATTATTTTTTAGAATAATTAATAATAATAAATTATTAGTAATAATTTTAATAATTAAAAATTAATTATTAAAATATTAGAGAAATCTTATATTTTTTAAGTAAATAATGTAATTCATTAATTAACAATTTACAAAAAGAAATTTATTTAATATCTCAATAAAGATATATCATAATAATATAATTGTGAATAAAAAATATAATATAATGTAAAGTTTTTGAATAAATATTGATTTATAATTTTTATTTATAATTTAATAATTAATAAATAAAATAAAATAAAAATTTATATTTATATTTTTTAAAATATAAAAAAAAAAGATTACTTAAGAAAACTTTTAAAAATATTTAAAAAAAAATCACAAATGTTTAATTTGAAAATAAAAAATATAATAAATAAAAAAATTTTTTATCAATAAAAAATTTTTTTTATTAATTATAAACCAAATCAAAGAATTGGTAATTTTTAAAATCATTTTTATATAATAAAAAAATAATTTAATTGTAAAAAAATAATTAAATTGTAAAAATATTATTTGCATTTTTTTGCTTCAAATCAATAATTTATAATAAAATATTAATTAATAATTGATAAAACTTTAAATACATGATCAAGATAATCTTATAATAGAAATATTAAAGTTTTATTTAAATTCAATAATTATTTGTTAAATTATAATAAAATATATCAATCCAAAGACTTTTGTATCAGACCGTATATGCAATATAATAATAATAAAATTATTTATTCATTATATTTTTTTATTTCTAGGATATAATCTTTTATGTTAAACATGAGCAATTACAGTAATTGTGTAGAATACACAAAAATGGCATTCCAACTATCCCGATTTCTCAAGAACCTATGATAATTTTCAAGTATTAATAACACGGATGAAATTTTGAAATACAATCTATTTTTATCAATGGTTTATGCACATGCAGTTAGCCTTTAAAAAGATTCGATGGAAGGATGGACGGTAATTAAAATTTTGGAATTATATAAAGTTAAATGAATAAAATTTTCATTATTGTTAAGCACCAGTTACTGTTAAGCTCGTCACTTAAAAAAGGAAATGCCCGGCATTCATTTTCATCCTTGCAATCACCAATTAACAAATCCAAGTTTCAACTTGATCTATTTTTAAAAAAAGGTTTCAGAAAAACATAGATTCAAATGGTTTGGAGAAATTAAGTTAATGGATCAATTTTCTAAATATACCCTGATTGATTTTAAGGTTTCAATAGTGTCTTTCATACAAGAATCTAAGCCTAAAAAAAAAAAATTAGGGTTAGGCCTTCTTTCGTCGCACAATGGTGATCGGGATGTATCACCGGATCAAACATCATCAATATTGTAGTAGTGGCACAACATTTCTTCATTGAACACCTATGCACCGAATGTTTTACCATCCGGCTTCCATGTCACTTTATACTACATGCAAGAAATTCTTAGTTTCTGGCGCTATGCAATTCCTTAAAATTCACGGCGCTGGAGCTCGAGATCTGAGAAAAAAAAATTTCGGATCCACGAGCAATCATTCGACTAAAAAAAAAGGACGTTCTTTTTTAGGCGACGGCAAATTTAGATGTACCACAACACTTATGAATGCTGTAACAAAAGGAGACCTCCTTGAATAATCAACGACTTGCATAATTTGCATAATGGATAATGCGGGCTTGTATGCCATCTACGCGTACACGCCTTTCTGAACAACAATACGTAACTCGTGAACCACGTGTAACCAATTTCATCAATAACGACGCATTTTACTCGTAACGGGAAAGCATGCAATTTTTTTTTTGCACAACAAAGGAAGGAATTCTATAATTACCGTGTAATCTTGATGATAGGTTAATATCATATCGATATTTAAAGACAAATTACGCATTCTCAAAAATGGAACAGAACAAATGATTGTCCGCGTTACAAAGCAAAGTCAATTACAGTATTATGCACCTTACATTAATAAATCATAAGAAACAAATAACCTCACGATACTTTCGGGCATACGTAACCATCAGAGTAGACAACGCATGAGTTTCCCCAATATTTGAACATGCACATCTAGTTCAAAACGTCGATGCGATTTCCCTTTGTGATTAATTCCGTCTACCTACTAATTTGCATTTATATGTTGTGCACTGTTTGATCTTTCGGTGACCATTGACCCACCCGGCGAAAAGCTTATCATAAATGATAGCTAAGAAAAAAAAAAAATTTTTTTTTTTTTTTTTTTTTTTTCGACTTTATCTCTTTGAACATAGAAATTTCAAAAACGGCACTGGATATGTCAGTTTCAAATGCGCCCACCTCAAAACATACTTACCTAAATATATACAAAACCCTTCTACATTTTTAGGCTACGACAAATATCCACGCATGCCTTTTTTTAATACTATTCGTTTTTTCACATAAATAATCAAACTTATTTATAATTCGAAAAAACATCCCACAAAGGAGGACAAAAACATAATCTGCTTGATTCCTTTTTTTTTTTTTTTTTTACTTCTCGAAATCGTTCTTACGTATTTAATCAACCATCTTGTAACTATCAAATCATTTAGCTAGCACAACATCCGAGAAGTATTTTATTAATTGTAAACACGAGAATACAAGAATTTGTCCTTTCGCACCTTTTCTTATTGCATCCACGAACGACGAGCGCGAAGCCATGGGATACCTTACATTTTGCAGTGTGTGTAAAGTTAATCCGGTTCAGACTGACAAGCGGACATTAGAACCTATCAGTAAATTTTGCTCCGAAAATTGTTGGGAAGCAGCGTTTTCCCTGGGAATGATTGATAATGATAAATGTAATTACTGTGGTAGTTATCCGAAATTAGTGCTTGCCAATGGTAGAAAAGTTGGTTACTGTGGTATAGCATGTCGGAAGGAGGCCGAGAAACGAAAGCATCACAACGGCAGCTACAAAAGTTTACCGTCAAACCATAATGAATCCACCAATTTCCAAAATTCATTATACCGAACAACATCAACACAAGGGAGTTCATCCTCCTCAAAACCTCGCGACCCAAAATCCTTACTCAAAACACCTTTAATTCAATACAATCATGATGGCGATTCTTCAGGTTCTTTGCAAGTCACCTCCTCTCACAAATCATCGAAAAGAAGTTCGACTCTTCCCGTATCCATCCATGATCCTACCCCAAATTCTTTGCATGTCACTTCCCATCAATCATCAAAACGTGGTTCGATGCTCCCCCCGACCAACAATCATCCGCGATCGCCCACTCCGAACTCTCTGCAGGTCGCTCATTCTCATCAGCCACTAAAACGCGGTTCGATGCTACCCGCGTCCAACAACGATTCGCGATCACCAACTCCAAACTCTTTGCAAGTTGTCCATTCTCATCATCAATCATCAAAACGAAGTTCAACGCTACCTGCGTCCAACAATTACTCACGGTCCCCTACCCCCAATTCCCTGGAGACCATTGATTCTCAGCAATTATCAAAGAGGAGTTCAACGCTTCCTGCGGCCAATCACAAATCACAATCACCCACTCTAAGCCCTAAGCGAAGCTCGACGCTTCCCACCTCCGACAAAGATTCACGGTCAAATTCCCTGCAGATCGCACATCCCCATCAAACATCAAAAAGAAATTCAACACATCCCGATAATCCGAGATCACCCACCCTAGATTCTGATTCTTTACAAGTCGCACATTCACACCAATCACCTTCACGATCGCTCACTCCGACCCCAACCAATTCCTCCTCATACTCGCGTCCAAGTACGCCCATAAAACTGAAATCGCGGGAAAATAATAGTAAAATTAGTAATAACAGTAATAGCGAACATGATAGTATCATCGATCGCGGTGCTAACCATTCTAGCAAGCGCACGGTCATTCTGCCTCCTTTACTCTCGTTCACCCCAACACCGACACCTCAGGATACCCATGACTATAACTCTCACGACTCCCATGGTCTTTCTTCTAAGCGATCAAAGAATGCACTGTATCGGGCCTCTCAACAGAGTTCTCTGCCAAAAAACCACGATAGTAATAATGGCACAAATCGACATCAAAAATCCCATGCGGTCCCGCTAATTAGCTTAGTGCCTCCGCCTGTTAGTGTTGGTCGTGCTAGCTGGAACGACTACGCTCACAAAAGAAGCTAGTAGGTTATGAATGATGGGTACTTTTCATTTTCAACAAAGATAAAAAAAAAACCTTTTTTCATCTTTTCACCTGACCCACGATCAAATTTAGCGTAAATGGCTTTAACGAGCAGCAAGTTCTATTCTAGCTATTCAATTTCACTTAATTATTAACGATAACGTTGCCAGCATGTGAGCGAGGAAATCAATGTTCCTTTTTGTAAGAGAAATTGAATTCAAAATAAATAAATATATGGATTTTTTTCTTTTATTATTAGATTTTACACTTTGAAAATAAAATTATCTGACATTTCCAAAACGCCTTTGTCCAAAACAAAACGAATATATATATATATATATATATGTATACAGTATATTGTATATACTTGTTACTTGTTGAATAATATAAACTTTGATGAAAATATTTAATAAAGGGAAAAATGAGTTTCATGGAATTACATTTTTGCCGGATAAAATCATGTACCGTGAATAACAAAATATAGTGTCTATGTAAAAGTAGAACTTGACATTTTCATAGAGTGGAGTGTCTGTTTGCAAGAGTAAAACAATAATAATAATAATAAAACTTAGTAGAATCTCTGTTGATACACCACCGTATTCGTGGGGGGTGGTGGGATAATGACCGTTTGTTGCGGTTGTGGTTGTGTGCAAATGATGGTGGTTGGTGGTGGTGGTGGTGGGGCTTGATAAATTATAGTCGGCGGCGGTGGTGGTGGAGCGTAGATAACAGTTGGAGGTGGTGGTGGTAATACTCGAGTGACCGTAGTGACCACTGGAGCTGGGTTGTTCCTGACAACCACGATGTTGTTAGGCCGAGGTTGTTGGTTTACGTAGACGATTTTTTCTTGATACTATTGAGACATTATTAGAAGCTTATTAGTGACGGCCAACTGAGACACAACAAATTTGATATTTGATATATCACATCAATGTATTAATAAAATAAATACCATATGTTCTTATTGTTTGGTGGAGATTTATTACAGTATATATTCTTTGTCAAGAAGTAACAACTAGCTTGCCTTTGAAATGCTGCGGTAAAGTGAAAGTTGATGGAGCAGAAAAAAAAAAACGAATTGTGAAAATATCGTCAAACCTAGAATTATTATATAGTAAAATTCGGAGTATGTTTCCCTTGAAGACTTCTTCAGTTTTGGGTGTGACATGATTCTTTATCTGCATCAAAAGGTTTCACCTCATACAGTTTGCATGAACCGAGAATTGGGTATCTTTATCTACTATTTTTAAATTTCCTTGAGTGACGTTATTGGACGGTTCCTTACTTTTGAACTGTTATTTATACACCTTTGAAATGTAACAAAGAAATTGACGGTATATTATTTTTGAATAATGTGGTGTGTCTGTTTTGTGCGCTCATCACATCTATTGTCTTATGACCTGGTCAATAGGAGGTGCGAAAATTTAACCGAGAATGGTTAGCTTGCAAGTCATTATGTCGATCTTACCTGTAAGCACGTTGCGCCGGTTCTGCGGATAGCGTGACAAAGTGAACTTGTCAGTTCTCTATTTCAAAACTCATTCGCCATTGGACGAACACAACAAAGTCCCTAATTTACTGTATACCACTTCACCATTTTCTTAACACCGCGCATATACGCATAATTAAATGACTTATCTCTTATTAGTCTTGACTTTTTTTTTAGTACAACTTTGAAAGTGATTTGTTGTTCTATTTGCAACCTAGGTAAATACCTCTTCAATTCTAGATTATTTATTAATAATTTGTCAAATAATTTATTAACTATTTATTAATCATTTAATAAAAATTTAAATAATATAAAATCATAAAATTGATTAAATAAAAAATTATATAAATTATAAATATAATTAATTTTTTTATATCTATCATAAGCAATAATTTTATTAATTAAGGATTTATCCAAATTAATAAAGAAGCAAAATATCATTTTTTAAGATATATTTAAAAAAAAAAATTTTTTTTTCTAATAATAAATAAATTAGCATGTAAAATCATAATATTTTGTAAATATTTAATATAGATATAATAAAGAAAATAAATTTTTATTAAATAATTGATAAATTGCTAATAAATTTGTGCTAAATGTTTAAAAAATATCTAATAGATTATTAATAAATTTTATAAATTGATAATAAATTTTCAATAAATCTTTAATAAATTATCAATGAGTTATTATTGAATTTTTTATTGAATTGTTAATGAATTTTTGTTAAATTGTTAATTAATTATATTGATAAATATTGCATTACCATTTTATTAACTATTTATTACTAAATATTGGATTGCCCCTTTATTGCTAAAATAGTAATATACCAAGTAAAACTATTTGAAAAAAATTTATTGATTTTTTTATTAATGAATTTGATTAATTCAGTAATAATTTAATTGTTAAATGATATAATTTTAATTAGTGTTTTTATTACAAGATAATATATATAAACAAATATTAGAAAATATATTTAATATATTTAATATTGCATTAAATCCTGATGTTTGTCAGAAATCAAATACTTATAAATCATTGGAATTTGATAAATTTCTAGATGAGATATGTAAAGAAAATACAAGTAATGAAATAATATTTTCAACTATTCAATATTTATCATATAGTAATATAGAAACTATTCTTTTAAAAATGATCAAGATGGAAATTTATGTGATATAAAAACCATTCCCTCTCGAGATATAAATTTATTATATGGTACAAAGACTACTAGTCTACAAAATGATCAAACTGAAATATCTAAATTAGAGCAAGATGTCGAGTGTAATAAAAATGAAATTGTAAAATAGGATTTAATGGAAGAGTTGCATTTATCCATTGGTAAGCAATGTCTCATTGATTCTGCTATAGATAATATCAACCCTACAGAAAATAAAGATCCAGCTCAATATCTATCTTATTTACCTAAAACGGCAATCAAATCTCAACGACAGGAAATTTTAAACTGATATTATTATTCCCTTGAATTCGAAAACAGGGTTCATGTTATTACAACTAATGATAAGATCAAGTCGGGATAGATAAAATTAAGCTAATTACATGTAGTGCGAATGAAATTTCAAAATTGACTAATGTACAAATTCAGAATATTATAGATCAAGTGAAATCAAAAACCGTCCCCCCCCGGGGAACGATCAAGTTTTACCGGAAACCAAGGTAAGTATTATAACCACTCCCTCTAATTCGATAAGTGAAGTTAAATCTTTACCGGAGGTTGATATATGTGAAGAGATTGATCGAGATTCTGATCCATCAGAAGTCAAGATACAGGTAAGTGCGTCCGATGACTCGCGAAGTGGGGATGCTATCGCATCTGAAGATTCCAACTATGAATACGATTTTGAAGATCCCTTCGATGACAACGAAGACGACTCACGGAGTGAGGATGCTAATTCGTCTAATGATGATGAGCTTTGCGGTTTCTCTGATGATGATGAAGGTTATTATTACGATTTAAACACCAGTGAAACTTATTCGAAATCGGAATATCGTTATTCAATCCACACATATTAATAATAATTCCAGCACATATTATTCGTGTAATCTAATTTTTATCACATAAGGACAAAAAATACGTTTTAATTTTAAATATATTTTTTTTGTTGATGATGAACTTCACTAGGAATAAACATTTCGGACATAATGATCATAAAAATACGAACCTTATCTTTAGCACCTTGTACTAGCTCCGCTAAACTTCATAATAATTCGTGGGTCAATGCGATAATCGCCTAAGCGATCCATTCATTCTTAGTCTGTGGATGATTTATTTGCATAATTGTCTTCGATTACGCAATGCAATGTCGAAACTTAAAAATAGATGCTATTAATAATCAAAGAAATGCTAATAATACCTGACCACGTTTACTGTCAAGTTAAAAAATTGTTCTGGTATCTTCTCCACCTTGGCGTGAAATAAATGATGATCGAAACGTAACCCTAACAAAGGCCTTACTCATCGATCTTAGTATCACCCATCTTAAATCAAAGGAATCCGCGCGTCCCACAATTGAATTTCTAATCGGAATTTCATTAATCGTTTTGAAAAGTCTGCCTCTTATGGCTTTAACCGTTACTTTAATTTTCGTCATTGCGAAAATGAGCCCTGGAAATATCCATTTGCGTATAGGGTTTCATCACCATATGATTCTTCCTGTGGGACGTAAAGCAAAAAAATGCCGATGAAACAAACATTCGTGAAACGCTACTATCGCTGAACAAATTGGCAAGATCAGAACCGAAATTAATGACGATCTTACCACAAAAATGAGCACAGAATATCATTAACATGATAAATAGGAAATATAGCGAAGTTGAACAAGTTCTAGAAACCTACCATAATAATTTTAGTCAAATTGCAACTAATTTCGAATCAGTCGGCATCGTGTTGCTCGAATGAATATGCATTTATGTATTTGATTGATTAATAAACTCTCGATCTAACCTGGCTACGGGTTATACACACAAAAAAAAATAAACATATACTGTATACAGTATATTAAAGTATATTCAAGAATTATATCCAAGAATCCAAGTCAGAATAGTCCACAATTATTGAATCATCGTGTAAATAGTTGAATTATAAATTTTTGACCAGAGTGTACAGTATGTCGGCAAAACTTTTATCATGTTAATGCACTTAACGACTAATTTACTAAGCGATAATCAAATTATCATTTTTCTAGCACATTAGACTGCAAATAAACTAGGAAGGAATAATATCCAAATCGTTGTTCGATTTAGTTATATCGATAAGTACTATGACTTACCCGCCGGTCTCTTCACAACTTTTTATGACCTCCAAAATGAGGTCCAACCATCCTTGCTGTTCTTCATCTAGTTCAGCTTCAGGATAATCAATCTTGTATTTAAGAATTCTGTTCTGTTGAATAAGTACCTGAGATAAGCATATGTGGGGGGGGGGGGGAAACACGTAATGAATAATGTCGGATTTCAAATACGTACCAGTTGATTTCTCAAATACTTTAACAACGTAGCTGCTCTCGCAGGGCATTTCAACTTTATCCATTTGTCAATGGACAACATCTTAATTTCATGCTTTTATAGTTTGTAAAAACGTTGGATACGTAAATATAAAGCAACCAATATTTGAATTGATTGTTGATGAAACGAAAAAAAATAAACAAGAAGTTAACTTCTGCGTAACAGCTGCAGGGATGAACTGGCACCAACATAATATTCCTCACCTTCACTTCAATTTCCCTTCCGAACAAGACCAAATCAATAACTTCCACCAGACTAGTCTCCCTAACATATAACTTATTTGTCTGCATCAGAGTATTATAGACAAACCAATTTTTTCCTAGGGACAACAAATCGTTTGGATTCGTGACCTGGAGCTTGAAGTTTATCGAGGATGGATGCATGAAAACTTGTTTTGGATCACGACTAAGCACAGTGACAAATTGTTTATTCCTTAAATCCCGATGTATTACTCTAGGATACAATCCTGCCGCGATTGCAGCATTGATTATTGGAGTGGAGGATGTATGTTCATTATAAACTGCCGGAATCCGACACATGGTTTGAGAAGTATATCTAGAGTACCATGAATAAATAAAAAAGTACTTAAAGTACTTAATTAAAAAAAATAATACCATTAACGAGTGAGTAATAAATTACCTACTCACCTTCTTAATTCTGCTTTCATTTTCTCGTCCACTTGCACAAATCCGATATTCACCAACAATGATAAGAACTGTTTTTTCAAGTCTTCAATCACACGTAAATTTTGATCACTCAGAAAATTAGCCCGGCAAAATTCTCGCAAAAACTTTCCCGGACCATTCTTTTCATAAGTCAATTTCCACTCGCAATAAGCATTATACATTGTTAATAAGTCGGAATCGCCGTATCTAAATTTATTTCGTGCAGCATCGGATTCGGCTTCTTTGCCAAACGGTGTGAGGAACGGACTACGGTAGCTTAAGGTTGCCGCTATGGTAAGAATTGGATCAAGACACCTGAATATCGCGCCGAATAATAGCATTTTTCCAATGTGAACATCAACAGGAATATGTGAGAGGTGCATTCCAAGCGGGGTAAGCTCCCCTTCAGGGGTAAGGGCTTGAACCTTAAAGAAATAGGTGGTAACATTGATCGATTACAATGGAGGATATGGTGTTCACGAGAATGAGATACAACATACGTCCAGTAATCTTTCTTACCTCCTGCAAGGTCGCAATGGCGTTTCTAATAGCCTTATTCGTTGGGGGGTCTACGGCCTCTGAAAAAACGTCGGAAATATCACCTAACCCGCAAACTTTAATCTTGAGGCAGAATTCCAGTAAAGGTAACCGCAATATCTCCGGAAGTTCGTAATCAGCCATCTTTCACAAACAAGGTGTGTTATATAGAATCTCTGATATTAAATAATGGCGATAGCGAATAGATGTATTACCTCATGGTCGTGTTTCCATTTCGTAAACAGATGATAGCATATTCCTTCTCGCACTCTACCGGCTCTACCCCTACGCTGACGGGAATTGGCTCTCGCCACAAACGTCTCTTGCAAAGTTGTGATTTTTTTTAGACTCATCATACCTGAAAATATATTATATATTACTTTAACGACTAAAAAAAACAGTTCATAGAGAAATAGAAACGACCTTATGTCGTGACTCACCTAATCTGATTCGCCTTTCCAGTATCAATAACTATAGTGACGTCTGGAATAGTAATTCCAGTCTCGGCGATGTTTGTGGCCAAAACAATCTTCCTTACGCCTTTCGGTGGAATCTCGAATGCTGATCCTTGATTTTCCGAAGATACCAAAGAGTGCAAAGGATACACCAAAAATTTCGCTTCATCTTGAAAATTCCTGTCAGCTCTCAGTTGGTCATACAACTTTAAAATTTCTGGCATTCCTGGCAAAAAAATCAAGATTGCACCATCTGGCGGAATATCCGGTGAAGTTCCAGTTTCAGTACTTGAACTTATGTTTCCTGGCACGCAAATGAAGGTGAGAAGCAACATTATAATATCGTAGTTTATTTTGTTAAAATCAAGCCTCCTCAGAACTAGTCGTGTGCGTTGCGAAAGTGATGAAAGTTCTTCATCAGGAATTGAAAAATCGCCATCGGTATATATATCCGCTTCCACTTCATAATGAACTTTATTTGTAGTATTTCCTCTGCCCGTGACAGATATTGTTCCTTCATCTGTTCAAAATATTTGAGACATATATAAAAATGACGAATAAATAGAGAACGAAAATCTTCAGGAATTCAGAAAGTACCTTTTATTTGCCTAACAACTCTTGCTGCGTATTCATCACCCTCATCAATCATATATCCTGAATTTACCCCACAAAAAGGAATTGAATAAATGCATCGCACAACATAAACAGATACTCAGGAATGAGAAATGCACCTGTCTTCTCGATGACATCCTCAAGATATCTTACGGCGACAGGAAATGTTTTTCCCGGTATATCGATTATGGGACATTTGTAAAAATATTGAGAGAATTTTTGCGATTCAAGAGTTGCACTCATTAGAATAATCCTGCAATGCAAAAGCAAGTCACGTAAATTATTTGGGCAAAAATAGAAAAAAGATCATTTCAATAGCAAATTAAAAGGTCAGACTTGCTTCAGATCAGGTCTCCTTTGCATAAGTTTCTTAAGCACTATCAGTAAGAAATCGGATTCGAGTGTTCTCTCGTGAACCTCATCGACTATAACGTGACTAACGCCAGTCAGGAATTTGTTGCTTTCAAGTCGTCTAAGCAATATACCCTATGACATACAGATAGCAGAATATAATCGCAAGACAAAGTCTACCTAATGAATCATTTATTAAGACCGCAATACTTACGTTGGTACAAAACGTCAGCACATTAGAATATGAAACGCGAGATTCCAATTGAATCTGATAGCCAACCAAAGATTTCATTGAACCGATGGTTCCAGGCATATCACCCACTTTTAAATTCAATAAAATTTAAAGCGGTCAAAGAAGATTTATATAAAAAAAAAAAAATGAAATCACGAGTATAAAGAAAGTCTTACTTTCGAGTGAAACGCGAAGCGCAATTGAAATAGCAGAAATTCTTCGGGGCTAAAATAAAGGTGTTGATCTCAAATGAAAGGCGACTCACAGGAACAACAAATTATTTTAAATAAAATGCAAACCTGGGTACAAATTATGTTACAGCGATTCCCGTACCCTCTTAAGAGCATGTGTTCGGCAATAAATTGTGGCATTTGAGTACTCTTGCCACTGTAATAATGATCAAAGAAAATAAGAAATTTAATTTCATCTAATTACTCAGAAAAATTGATTAATAATAACCATCCGGTTTCTCCAGAAACAATAATGACTTGGTTATTGTCCAGTTTTTTCAACAATTCTTCTCGATAAGAATAAATTGGTAACAGTTTACGCTTAGCCTTCAGTTTTGCATTTGTAATTATTATCAGCCAATGAGGTCTAAACAAACTGTAGGAGAAGATGAATATTCACCAAAAGGTCATTATATGCCTTGTGCGATTGTCTGTTTAAAAACGCTTTCTTCATAGCGGCTCCTTCATCCGAGATACTCATATCTTGAGAATTTGACGTAATTTTGTCAGGAACCGTCTCGTTTAATTGTTCGGTTATCTTCACGTTTTCTTTTGCGGTTTCTTCGATCGTCTAAAAAAATAATTTATCTATTAGCCATTTACAAATGGTTCTTAAATTAAGAACAAATTAAGAATATTTACATTAAATTCTTTGATCTTATTATCGGTAATAGATAACAAAAATTTCATCCTCTCTTCTTCTGATGCTATTTTGTGTTTATTAGCTTCAAAATTCTATTAATAGAAGCCCAATTGATATTAAGAATTTGATAAAGAGTAAATAATCGGAATCGCAGAATCAAATTACCTTGGCTTCCATTAGTTCTATCCATAAATCTTTATATGAAGGTGGTAACAAATGATATAATGGAAGGTCGGTTAACTCGACTAATGCCAACGTCTATTAAATGGTAGCGAGAAAATAAGATCAAGTAAACTAAGAACAATTCTGGTGAAGATTCTAACAATGACTTACGGAAACATAATTTTCAGCTTCTTCAAATGACCGACAACCTTCATCTTTCATGACGAAACCATCCTCTTTTCCTCCACCCCAAATTATCTTAACTCCAGCTTTCTTGATGCTGTTTCCACCAACGGTAGGTTCCTGATGAAAGTTCACTCTAACTTGTAAATCTTTCTTTCGACAAACTTCTTGTAATATTTCCTTTGGCATTTTTCCAGTCCAAGAAGCGTGTACAGGCATTTCCCTGAGAAGACATGTAGTATTTATTTTCTTCACAGTAGACTCAGATTTCATCTCTTCCTCAGAGGGTGATGGAACATCCAATAATCCACCAAATAAATCTCCATCATCTTCATCTTGAATTGAAAATCCAAGCAAATTGCTTTCCTCATCTCTCTTAGGTTTATTGCTAATTTCCTCTTCACTATCGAATTTTGACTTAAGCCTTTTAATCTCCTCATCCCTTTCAATCTTTTTTTGTTTTTCTTTGAATAATCTTTCGGCCTCCCTTCGATCAAATAAGTAATCTCCCTCAAGTAATTTAATCTTCGCGTTAATAGCGTCGATACGACTAGATACTTCTTCACTGTCGCCATACTTTTTTAAGATCTTTTGTTGTGCTATCAATTTTAATTTTAATTCTGCATACTTCACGCTTGGATCTGTCATTATATCATCACCATCTGATTCCTTAATTAATTTGAAATTTTTTAGAAGCCAGATGGGCGTTAGCAACATAACCAATGTTACATACGGAATTTCCAGCAGCATCCAAAATCCAAGATTTTAATTGAGACATGTTTGCGTGTTCGTCTGATGAAGAATCTTCTTTTTCGGAGGGTAAAGGTTCCTTGAATGAGAATTACATTAATTTGGATGCAAAGATGATGAATCTTTTAGAAAATAATAGACCTAAAAATATTGACAAAGTTCGTATCTCACCATTCGAGTTGATGGTAGTTGACTGGTAGAAGTAGGATTCTTGGGCACAAACTTTATGCTAGTCTTCACTAATAAAACAAGTTAATTTTTAGCAAAATTAAGAGCTGATTCACATCCAAATTTTCTAAAATTTTCACATACTGGGAATTACCGTCATCATGATATATTTTATCAGAGAAACCGACGGGCAATGATTCGGGTGAAACGTTAATGCACAACTGATATTATCAATTTCAAGATTAAGCTGTTAACAATGAATCTATGGAATTAAAGGAATGACATTTCGACCCACCCAGTCTAACGCAGGTCGTAAGTCCAAACTACAAATCCTTCTTATACATTCTTCAATATCCGTTTTTAAAAACCCAAGTCGTTTCAGTATTAGATATACAAAATCCAATTTTGTCAAAACCCTTTCGCGTTCTTTCTGATCTTTGAGATCAATTGCATCATCAAACTTGGTGTCCACTTTCCGATAATGGAAAAAAAGCTCAATCAAAGTTAAATCCAAAGACTTCACGAATTAAGCAATTTAACTAACCTTGTTCTTGATATCCAATTTTTTTAATGTAATTTACGATCTTAAGTTCAGTACTAGTATCCAGTTTTAAAACAGGCAATTGATTTATATCAGCAACTGATTCTTCCGATGATAAATCCTTAAAATGGGTGTCAACTTTTTTCGAATTCAAATCACGTAGTTTTTCAATTATAGGGATCATATCATATAATTCATTATCTTCTGGCCTGGTGTCAATACTATCAATCTGCGTCGAAGTATCTATAGAGACAACCTTGTTTGATTCGCTGTCATCATTGGCTTTAGAAGTTTCTTCGATTTTCTCTTTAGATTTCGATGGCGTGCTCGTCGTTGCAAACCCACGGGCAGAATTTATGTTCCTCTTTTTTTTACTCGACTTTGGGGGCATTATTTATCAATTTTATGGTCGACGTAATTGATAAAGACACACACTTTGAGAGAAAAAGGACAGAATTAACTGATCTTCATGTACAATACAGTTTTATACGATATACATGTAGTGTACGAAAATCATTATTACGTAATGTATTTAGATCATGTATTAAATATAAGTCGATTCATAATATAATCAATCCTACACGGGCTTCTCATAACCGCACTTTAATATAAATCACTTCCAAATTCATTCTAATGAGTTACGAGACAAGATACGATACGCAAGCCAACCAAACCCTCTTTCCCAGGTAGAAGAAGTGGATGTGTTAATGAGCATATCCTAATTCGGTTAATGCGATATCCTATGATCCAACAAATCTATTAATTAACCTTTATTATTGGGATTAAAAAATATTTGAAATTGCGCGTTGATTATGGATTATGCAATATTCACACGATCTGTAGATCGTTAAAACCACAATCGCGTTGACTTATATTATGCACATAGTATCCACGATTAAATCGCAATGTAGTGCTCCGTGCGGCATCCTTACTAAATCGGAAATTGAAAGTTTGATCTTAGATGCACGAGGATTCCGTGTGAATGCCGCAATAAATTTGTCGTTCTATCACGTGATTCGAGCGAATAGATTTGTTGAACCAAAAAGTAATGAATTACACTTAACCAAATGCAAAAGTATACAGTATATCTTCAAGCAGTATAGTATATACTATGCATATAATAGAATAAGATTTTTTTCACTGATTTCTTGATCAAATACAAAAAAGATGTTTGCAAGAAATTTTATGTTTTTATACTAATAAAGTTTTACTATTTTTCTTAAAACAACTTGAAAAATAATTTTATGAATTTTATTTGCTTCTTTTCTCTTGTTTATATTCCTTTTTAACAAAAATCTAGCTTCTGATAATCAAGAAAAATAAAAAATCATTTTTTTTATTTATGACAAGAATGTTCTAAAAGAAAAAAGAATCAATAATAAAATATTGAAATTTTATTTTTTATTTTTATTTTTTTTTAATCTATAATCATGTCATGATGGCTTGTCTTTATTGAAAAATTAAAGTAAATCTACAATAATTTATAGATTTTTACAAAGTAACTAACTTGTCTTCATACATAAATACTCTAAATCAGATTTTGGGGATAATATTATACTTCCCTGATAGATGGTAATAACCTCTATCTATCAGGATTATTGTCAACAGTTTGTCACTATTGATTGCTCAAAAACTAATAAATTACTATATTAAAAAGAAAAAAGGAGACAATTTAAGGCCTACCAAAAAAAATCAAAAAATAAAAACAACCTCTTCTCAAAAAGAATTTACTTGATTGAATAGCCTTTTTGCTTTACTTGAACTTTAGAAGAAATTTTTTTTTATCATCTATGATATTGGACAAGTCAATCCAACTGATCTTTCATTTAAATGAGTATCATATTGGAATATCTCAAGGAAGGTATTTAGATCTTAGTTTTTTTCTATTAAAGCTTTGTCATCACTTGAAGAACTTAGATAAGAGATAAAGATTTGCAATTTATATTACCTATTACTTGATTTTTTTATATTATAGAAATTTTTATTAAGAAACTTGAACAAATGTTTTCAGAACCTTTTTTCCAATTACCAATAATATTATCAAAACATATGAATGTGATCAATAAAAACTTGTTTACATTCTAAAACTAATATGTTTTATGTTAACTAATCACCTTTAATAAGGATTTATGTTACTCAAAATTTAGGGTCAAACTAAGGTAGGCAAAATTCCTCAGAAAACTGTGAAAGTGAAAGCTCTAAGAGAGTCAAGACAGTTAAAAAAGGAAAAAACAAGCATTTTATTATAAAAAATCTCTATAAATCTTTCATTTCAAAGGTTAGATAGGTTTTCAAATACTTCTTCTTCCTTTGAAAACTTTTTTATCATTGGTATCAAAAGTATTACTTGACTTTTTTTGGTCACTAGAAGTCAAGTTTTTGAATAAAAAACTTTATAAATAAAAGGAAAAAAGTAGTAATAACTCTTGAAGTCATACTTCAAGTTGTTTTAAGGAAAGTATTAAAACTTTATTAGCAAAGAAGTATAAAAACTTCTTG